AGAGTCCATTCGATATGACCGCCTTTTGCCTTGATAACAGCCCTTAATCGGTTCGGATATGCCTCCACTGCGGCCCGAATGTCATCTTGAGGAGTCGCCTTCCATCCTTTGGTCAAAGACTTCTTCAAAGAAAATTAGCAGACATTAGCCTCTAAGATTGGAACCGTATTGAAACCGTATAGGAACCGTATTGGATCCAAAAAAGAACCGTATTGGAACCGTATTCTAAGCGTATTGGAACCGTATTGGAACCGTATTAGATCCAAAAAAGAACCGTATTGGAACCTTATTGGAACCGTATTGGATCAAAAAAAGAACCGCATTGGATCAAAAAAAGAACCGTATTGGAACCGTAGACTTCTTCAAAGAACATTAGCAGACATTAGCCTCTAAGGTTGCCCAAATGGAAAAGTCCATCACATTGAGATTCGGTGAGTTTGTAGGTCATTCATCCTTGGTGATCACTGAGGGAAAGTTGGCCACACACCAGTCCTGAACCGTCTTCTTCGTGTTAGCGGGAGGCAATTAGGCAAGAATAAAGAAGATAGAACGCAACACAACAAAAAATAAGAAAGCTGTTTGGAAAACGGTCTTTGAACTCTTGTTGCAATAATTATGACGCACCCTGTAGAGAAAAGGGCGAACTTTGAGCCATTCAAAAGCCATTTTGTAGAGAAATGATAGATCTTTTTAATAGTTTAGAAGAAAATTTGGTAAAGAAACAAAAAAAGAAAAACAAAGATTTGAAAAAATTGTATGGAAACAAAGGTTTGAAAAAAATTCGAAACAAAAACGAAAAAAATTGTTAAGACTTTTGCATCAACATAATAGAATATAGATTACTGATGGATTTACAATTTTATTCTTGATTTAACGACTTTAGAATAAGCATTGATTCTAGTGCAATGCCATCGACGACACCAATGGATATTGAACAGAAAATCTCGATCACACTTCAACATGGGAATCACCGTGAACTCGTCGTCATCGAGAGAAGCGAACAACCACATGTATGTTTAAAAAAAAAGGAATGATTGCTTTAGAGTAGCAGCTTCTACAGCTTTTACTACAGCTTTTACAGCTTTATAGCCAAGAGGCCAAAGCCAAAATAGCCAAGAGGCAAGCTAAGTTTGAATTCTCACAAATTCGAATCCGAACACGACTTTCCAAATCAAGCCAGTCACATACTTTTTAAACTTTAAAAGCTTTCAAAGCTTCTACAGCTTCTACAGCTTCTACAGCTTTTACAGCTTTTACAGCTTTTACATCTACAGCAAGTTTTTTTCAACTAAGTCTGATTTCAAAACCAAACCTCTAGGAAAATTCTGCTCTCAAAAATGAAACATTTAGGTTTTCTACGGTCTTCTCGAGAAAGCTCGCCAACTCGCCGCCAAAGGGAATAGCCAGGTTCGTGAGAAAGCCAGGTTATAGCCGGGAATAGCCAGGTTCTATTATGTTACTAAAACTCTGCGAGCTTTATTGTATTTTAAACAATAATCTAATTTTTCGCGTTGCTCAACTACACCCAGAGACACCTTACACCAACCAAAAAATCCTAGAGGTTTTGGACTTATTTAAAACGACTTGAGTAAGCGCATCGCTTCTCCTTCTCCGCCTTCTTCAAGCAGATGTAGCACCTTGGTGTTGAGCTCGACTTGGATGGCGAACGACTTCGATTTTAGCTTTTGTACCGTCTTTGCGAGTAGTCAACTTCTGTTTTAGATGCTTTTCCAGCCGCAGATTGTCGATTGTTGATTGTCGCCTCCATCTTTCTCTGTCACGCTCATAGCTAAATAACAGAGAAGCTCGCGAAAACCGCCCAGACCGTTAGCATCACCGTCCTTGCCCGTCAACGCTTTGATCCTCTCAGCTGCTCCAGCGATTTCAAAAACCTTTAGGTCATCGTCAGCCGCCACTAGCAATGTGTTTCGCTCCTTGAGTAGCCGCAACGTTTCCTTGACTCCTTCTCCGCCTTCTTCAAGCAGATGTAGCACCTTGGTGTTGAGCTCGACTTGGATGGCGAACGACTTCGATTTTAGCTTTAGCATCTCTTTGCAAGTAGCCAAGCCGCCAACTTCTTTTCCAAATATCCAGTTGAATATCACCTCCGTCTTCCTCTGTTCCTATATTTAAATTAAAAACTTGGCAGAGAACAGAAAACTCTTTGATATCAGAAGAGAAAAATCAGAAGACGGAAAAAAATTTGATTCAGTACAATTGGCATTACTAATTTTAACAAAAACAAAAACAAAACAAAACAATAACAATCTAAAATTCTAGGGAGAAGTGCATTTGTTTCGTCACGATTATCTCTCACCGCAGATCCTTCATCCACTAAATTGCATCTCGCAATTGGTAAACTTTGAATAGCCAAAGGAATTCAATATTCAATATCCAAGATTCAATTCAATATTAAATTAAATTCAATTCAATATTCAATTCAATCAATACAAAACCAAATTCAACACTCAATTTTAGGGAAATGGTAGTGTTGTTGAGGTGATTGTGGTGGATCGAAATGAGAAACCGACAGTGCCTCATGTGGTTGAGGTGAGAGCATAAAATCAGCTTTGTTAGTCAGAAACGATTTCTAGGTGAATACCTATTTAACGCCAACCTTTTGCGACTATTGTGGCGAGATTTTGATGGGTCTCGTCAAACAGGGACTTCAATGTCAGCGATGCAGGTAGAGCAAAAGCTTGTATCAATTGACTAATCAAAAAGGAAACAAAAAGGAAGAAAAAGGAAGAAAAAGGAAACAAAAAGGAAAGGATTGAAAGAAAAGGAAAGCGTTAAAAGAAAAGGAAAGTAAACCCTGGAAAAGATTTTTGATTTTAGATGCAATTTCCACAAGAAGTGTGCCTTTGCCTCGAGAAACAATTGCGCAAAGAATACCCCATTTTGCCCACCAACATTAGCTCATCAGATGACGAGCTTCTCGCCATCAATTCCACAAATGAGTGCCCCATATCATGGTGGGTTTTAAAACTTGCAGTTAACTTGCAGTAACTTGTAACTGAAGCCAAGTTATACTTGAATTTACTAGATTAGATAGACAGATAGATAGACATGTATTGTGTCTATCTATCTATCTGGTTGTTCGGATATAAACGAGCGTTTGCACTGCGCTTAACTCGTGAGGAAGCATTGATCTAATACGGTTTCAATACGGTTCCTATTTTGATCTAATACGGTTCCAATACGGTTTTCCATTTCCCGCGTCAGATCGTCTTTCCAATGGAGATGGAGTAGAATTTGAACATATAAACTTTTGAGCAAGTTCATGCGTCGTTTGACATGGATCTGATTCGATTGCAGCCCTCAAAATATCGTTGTTTACCGTTTGAGGTCGACCAGACCTCAAGACCTTGTTCATCATCCTCGAGACTTTCATCACCATTCCGAAGGCGTTGGAACCAGGCTCGGCATCGGCTTTCAAACAATACATCATTCCCAAATGCTTTGACCAAATCTCAATAGGATTCCGCTACTATTTTGCCCAGTTTGAAGTCGTAAAGTAGGCAGACGCGAACTTTATATATTGGGTTGGTGAGTTGAGAAGTCAATGTCCAATTTGCGGAGAGGTCAATGTCCAATTTGAGGATTCGGAGCCGGCCAGATTAGTTTGGCAAAGGGAGAGGGAAGGGGGTTATGTAAAAGCCCTGCGCCAGACGACGAGCGATTACGCGGCCGCGCAAAGAACACACAGAACACACAAATTTTAAGCGAAACTACTGGGATTCCGCTACTGTTTTGCCCAGTTTGAAGTCGTAAAGTAGGCTTATTGATAAGTAAAGTAGACGCAAACTTTATATATTTGAAGTCGGTCATCGAACAACCTAATAGATTCTCTTCTTTTGCTTCTATATCTTACTTTTGTCTTTGTCCTAATGTCTTGTCTTACTGCAGTATTTTTAGAGAGCCTGTATTAGACAAGAAAGTAAAACTGGATTCAATTAGAGCAAGAAAGTAAAGCTGGCTTCAATCTCATAATTTTTAGAAGAGATCCCATCTCCATCTCAACAACATCATCCATCCTCACCCTATGCTTTACCGCATACTTTTGCCGTTCACAACTACAAAACGTTAACTGTTTGCAAGGTGGGCAAATGTAATGTGGATTTGCTTTTTGATTTGATTAAAATTTGATTATTCTTATTGTATTCTATCAGAATTTGTTCTAGGTTTGCGACAAAATGCTATTCGGTATTATGAAGCAAGGAATGCGGTGCAGGGATTGTAAAGTAAGCTGAAAGCTGATAAATAACACTGCCCAATATAATGATAGCCAATTTTGCAGAAACACGATTTCTAAAAAACTTTTGACTAAAGTTGTAAAAGAGTAAAGTCATTTTTCAAGAATCACCCCATCTCTTCCTCCCAAGTTTCATGCTTTCCTTTTCCTTAGTGTTTTTCTTACCATAGCATTGTCCATAGCATTGTCCATAGCATTGTCCATAGCATTGTCCATAGCATTGTCCATAGCATTGTCCATAGCATTGTCCATAGCATTGTCCATAGCATTGTCCATAGCATTGTCCATAGCATTGTCCATAGCATTGTCCATAGCATTGTCCATAGCATTGTCCATAGCATTGTCCATAGCATTGTCCATAGCATTGTCCATAGCATTGTCCATAGCATTGTCCATAGCATTGTCCATAGCATTGTCCATAGCATTGTCCATAGCATTGTCCATAGCATTGTCCATAGCATTGTCCATAGCATTGTCTTTAATAGCAAAAATTGCTTAGCTTGCTTAGCTATGGCTTGGCAAATAAGGGCAGGCTTGAGCTTATCGATGTTTTGATAATGACAGGCTTGAGCTTAGCAATGTTCCGATTGAAGGACAACATTGAAGACCATCCTTTGAGCACTCACGTCTCTGTCTACCACAGTGGAAGATCCGATGGACCAGTGGAAGATCCGATGGACCAGTGGAAGATCCGATGAACGGTTGTCCATGAAGAGAAATCTGAAGTTGGAGAGAAAGGGAAGGGACCAAGCTTCACTGACACGTTGGCTGGCCTCTTCAAGAAAGGTCTAGCCCATCTGGACTATCCAGTCTCCGAAATCCAGCCCATCTGGACTAACCAGTCTACGAGGGTCCACTCGATGACATGAACCGAGCCTGCGACATTGAAGGCCATCCTTTGAGCACTCACGTCTCTGTCTACCATTATCGGAACATTGAGATTAGCAATGTTTCGAAAGTAGTCTGGAAAGTTTCGAGTCTGGAAAGTAGCTAAGCGATCTTTGCTATTAGAGACAATGCTATAGACCATCTAGTAAGACTTTCTTAGTAAGAAAAAACTAGAGAAAAAGAACTTGGGAGGAAGAGGTGGGGTGATCCTTGAAAAATGACTTTTCTCTTTTACAACTTTGATCAAAACTTTAGAAATCGTGTTTCTGGAAAATTCAGGGATGCGACTATCATTATGTGGAGCTGTGTATACCGTAATACCTCTAGTAGCGCTCCCCTATAATGACGGGCGGAGCGTCGCGTCGTCTAACTTTAAACGCATTTTTCTCGTCACCTGTTTATGCTACAATGCTCGCTTAAGTATCAAATAAAAGCTGAAATTCAGGGCTATTTTTTGATACCAAAGACGCATTTTTTGAAAGTACGGGCGCTTAGAAAAAAATGATTTTAAAAAAATTTTTGCGACTACACGACTATACGCGATGTTTTTCTAAGCGCCTATAATTTCTAAAAGGCATTTTTGGTATCAAACAATAGCCCTGAATTTCAGCTTTCATTTGATACTTAAGCGCATACTGTAGCATAAACAAGTGACGAGAAAAATGCGTTTAAAGTTAGACGACGCGACGCTCCGACCGTCCGACTGGGAGACGCTAGGAATTACGGTAGAATTACGGAATTACGGTACAGATGACAATATAGATTACCCTAAACATTTCTAGGTGAATGTCCACAAAAAGTGTGCCGGACTTTTGCCACCGAATTGTCACATTGCTGAGGGATCGATCACCGCCTTCGAGCAGCTATCTGTTGTTGGTTTTGAAGGCGTAAAATCTTGCAAAGACTTTCGTGAACCGATCCAGAACAATATATTGACTAATATAACCAATCTAGCTAGCTAATCATCTAGCTAGCTAATCATCTAGCTAGCTAATCATCTAGCTAGCTAATCATCTAGCTAACTAATCACCATTTTCTAGAGTGAAATGCCATCTTTACCCCCTGAGGAAGGACCAAGTGAGAGTGGATCGATCGACTCCGATCTAATACCGCTTAGCCGGATACCTGGTGGGGATTCTTTTTCATTTACTAGAGCATTTTTCTTTTTCATTTAAAAGAGCTAATTTTCAATCTAGTCAGCACCAGAGTCAAGCCAAAGATCAAGCCAAAACCATAATCAGCTTTCAGGTCAAGCAGCAGCTCGAGCAGCTGCCAAGCAAACGCACGAGGGATGGATGATACACTTCTTGCTCAACGATCCGCAAAGGTTTGTGTAGTTGCGATGAAAGATAAATGGCAGAAGGTTGAATTGAATGAAGTCGAATCTAACTGTAATCTTGCTGTAATCTTACTGTAATCTAACTGTAAACCTTACTGTAATCTTACTGTAATCTTACTGTAAATCTAACTGTAATCTAACTGTAATCTAACTGTAATCTAACTGTAATCTAACTGTAAACCTTACTGTAATCTTACTGTAATCTAACTGTAAACCTTACTGTAATCTTACTGTAATCTTGCTGTAATCTTACTGTAATCTTACTGTAATCTTACTGTAATCTTACTGCAAATCTTACTGTAAATCTAACTGTAATCTAACTGTAATCTTACTGTAATCTAACTGTAATCTAACTGTAATCTAACTGTAAACCTTACTGTAATCTAACTGTAATCTAACTGTAATCTAACTGTAATCTTGCTGTAATCTTACTGTAAACCTTACTGTAAACCTTACTGTAATCTTACTGTAAATCTAACTGTAATGTAACTGTAATCTTACTGTAAATCTAACTGTAATGTAACTGTAATCTTACTGTAATCTTACTGTAATCTAACTGTAATCTAACTGTAATCTAACTGTAATCTAACTGTAATCTAACTGTAATCTAACTGTAATCTAACTGTAATCTAACTGTAATCTAACTGTAATCTAACTGTAATCTAACTGCAAATCTTACTGTATTGATTCAGACGATTACGCAACTATTGGATTCTCTCAAACAATGTCTTGTCAATGTACAATGAATACTCGGAAGGGGTCGGGGTGAACACGTCGAGGTGTTACAAGCAGATTCCCCTATCTGAGATCTTGGCTATCACTCCATACAATGGAGATCCGATCGATTCCAGGTGAGCTTTGTTTGGTGAGCTTTGTTTGGTGTTTGGTGAGCTTTGATAATCGTACATTCAATTCAGATTCCCTCCACACGTTTTCGAGATGAGAACAACGACGAATCAAGTGTACTGTGTGGGTGAGAAGCTTGACGCTTGTGGAGGGCCGCCAACGAAATTGCCGAGAGGACAAGCTGCAAGGTGAGCTGGAAACTTCGACTCCTTGAGTAAGGCATAAGCCTTGACCGCATTGGGATGCCGGATTTATCGAGAGATATCGAGATATCGATCAAATGCGTCTCAAATGTTCGGCTCTCCCCTTTTGCCATTGGGACTCTAACTTTGAGCTCAAATATCTTGATGTTGAGCTGTTCAATTTATAAGTTCTTGATATCATTAGATTTGCCTTGTCTTTCTCGATCGATTGATACAAAAACTATTGAAATTGAACAGATAAACACCGAGATATTTGAGCTGAAAGTGGGATGGCAAAGGGGGCGGGGCCTCGCGTATAAAAGGTCTTTCTAGCCCCGCCCCTTTTGTCAATCTAGTCCTTCTCTATCGATTGCTACAAAAACTATCGAAATTGAACAGCTCAACACCAAGAAATTTAAGCTTAAAGTTAGCCAATGGGAAAAGTGGCGGGACGATCCTTTGCCATTGCCATTGGCAATCTTTGAGCTCAAATATCTTGGTGTTGGGCTGTTCGATTGAAATAGTTTTGATATCATTAGATTCGCCTTGTCTTTCTCTATCGATTGGTACAAAAGCTATTGAAATTGAACAAATAAACACCGAGATATTTAAGCTCAAAGTTAGCTTGCCTGGAAAAGGGGTGGGGTGCGGATCAAACGTCTAATAACCTATTTGAATTATTTAATTTGTATATTTTTGATATCATTAGACGCGCCAAGTCTTTCTCTATCGATTGATACAAAAACTATTTAAATTGAACAGCCCAACACCAAGAAATTTAAGCACAAAGTTAGCCAATGGGAAAAGTGGCGGGGCGACCTTTGCCATTGCCATTGGCAATCTTTAAGCTCAAATATCTTGGTGTTGAGCTGTTCGATTGAAATAGTTTTGATATCATTAGATTCGCCAAGTCCTCCTCTATCGATTGGTACAAAAACTATCGAAATTGATCAGCTCAACACCAAGAAATTTAAGCTCAAAGTTCGATTGCCAATGGCTAAACCTTCTTTGACATTAAAAATCTAATATCTCAATCTGAAAAGCTTTTAGATGGAGGAATATATTAAAATATATTAAAAGCCATTTCCAGATCATCCTCCTCCGGTCAAGTGTGGTTGTCAGTGTTGGCTCAGGCTCTACAACCGCCACCATCGAGAAATGATCCAGTGAATGCTGAGCCAGTCTTACAATTCACCGAGCTTTATCAAGTAAACATTAAAATATTGTTATTGAGAATATTGAGAGTATTGAGAAGATTGAGAAGATTGAGAATATTGAGAATACCCTCCCCTAGAGATTTGTCTAGGAGGGATAGAGAGTCGGAGTTTGACGACCCTTCTCTTTCCCTCCATATCTCAACTTCCAGTTGATCAATCAACTTGTGGTTGGTCTTAAAATGTTCCTTATGAAATTTCGTTATAGAAATCCACAACTTCCTTGGTAAACTCTAATATAAAAATATAGAGAAAATCTCAGTCAAAGTCAGACTACCTACTTTGAAAGGATCGATCCACTTAAAAGGTCTATAACTCAAGATCTAAAAGTTGAATCAACTCAGGGTTACTTTTTTTAGAATCTACATGAAATTTGATAGAAGGAATGTGCAATTTGTTTTGTAGACTTACCGATAAAAACATAGAGAAAGGTAGAGTCAAAGTCGAGAAGTGTCTACTCCCCCTAGAGATTTGTCTAGAGAGTCGGAGTTTGACAACTCTTCTCTTTCCCTCCTATATCTCAACTTCCAGTTGATCAATCAACTTGTGGTTGCTTTTAAAAGGTTCCTTATGAAATTTCGTTATAGAAATCCACAATTTATTTACTACACACTAATGTAAAAACATAGAGAAAATTCCGGTCAAAGTCAGACTACCTACTTTGAAAGGATCGATCCACTTAAAAGGTCTATAACTCAAGATCTAAAAGTTAAATCAACTCAGGGTTACTTTTATTATTGAGAATATAGAGAAGATTGAGAATTTCTAGACTTCTAGTCACTTTTAAAATCAAATAAATCCAGGTACTCTCCGAGAAAACGCTTGGAGCCGGTCAATTCGGCACTGTTTATTCGGGTGTGCATCGACAAAGTGGCCGAGAAGTGGCTGTAAAGGTTCGATTTGATTTGTTTTGATTTAATTTGATTTGATTCTCGTATATTGTGTAAAACTGTAAACTTAATTCGAAAATCTATAGAAAACAAAGCCCAAGTTCAGGTGATTTCAAAGGAGCGTTTCTCGAAAAAGCCAAATAACGGAGCGGACACTCTTCGCTCTGAAGTCGCTATTTTGCAGGTGATCTTTTTCTTGTCCAACAATCATTTATATTCTTCTCAGTGATTGCTGATCAATGTCAATCAACTAAAAGATATTCAGCCTTATAAAACTATTGCAAAGCTTGTGAAGCTTGTAAAGCTTGTAAAGCTTGTGAAGCTTGTGAAGCTTGTGAAGCTTGTGAAGCTTGTAAAGCTTGTAAAGCTTGTTGTCAAGCTTGTAGAGCTTGTAGAGCTTGTGAAGCTTGTAGAGCTTGTGAAGCTTGTAGAGCTTGTAGAGCTTGTAGAGCTTGTAGAGCTTGTGAAGCTTGTTCTAAAGCTTTTTGTAAAGCTAAAAGTCCATTTTTACCCGCAAAAAGAAGAGTAAACCAATCGGAGAGATCAATCGTTTCAAAATTATTCTTAAAGAAAGTTCTTGTCATTACTTGTCATTATTGAAAATATTAATAAACTAAAAGATATTCAGCTTAAAAGAGAGCTTAAAAGACAGCTTAAAAGAGAGTAATCGAAAGTTAATCTTTTCGTTTAGACAATCAGCCATTCTGGCATTGTTCGTCTTGAGTCAATGTTTGAGACGAAAGACAAGATTTTCGTGGTGATGGAGAAAATGAATGGGGACATGCTGGAGATGATACTTTCACAGGTTGATAAAGAAAGACAGAAAAATAGATAAAAAACTACCGTATTCTCTCTAATAGTAGTGCACCATGAGCATCGCCTAAATTCCTTGAAATCTCGAGAACCGCTTATCAGAACCTATCGATGTGGGGTCGGAAAATGTAGCTGACGATGAGATCTTGACGATGATTTGAGTGTTGAGCTTCTGGGAGAACTTTGGAAGCCGTAAATAGTCATCAACTCGGCTCGCTTGGGTGCACTACCAGAAAATACAGTATTCAGCTTTTCGCGCGCTCCCAGGGGTTTTCGGCTATGGAGAATCTGACTTTTGGGTCTATTTTTAAAAGAGCGTAGGGCTTAAGTATCAAATTCTTAGCTCAGCTAACGTTAAGAACTCGATCAATCAACAAAACTTGGGTTTTGTTTAGTCAAAACGCAACTTTCGGTTCATTGCATCAACTTGACTGCTTTCCCGCTTCACTTAAATTCATCGAAATCTCGAGAACAGCTTATCAGAACCTATCGATGTGGGGTCGGAAAATGTAGCTGACGATGAGATCTTGACGATGATTTGAGTGTTGAGCTTCTGGGAAAGCTTGGAAACCGTAAAATAGTCACCAACTCGGCTCGCCCGGGTGCACTACTATTAGAGAGAATACGGTAAATCAATCAAATCAAATCAATAGTTTTCTTTATTTTCGATAGATCTGATATCAATTTTGGAAATCTTAGGCCGTTGGCCGCTTGGACGAACGCGTGACCCGGTTCTTGAGCTTACAAATTCTCTCCGCTCTTCGGTATCTTCATGCAAAGGTTTGAAAAAAGATAATAAACAATGTAGCTTCATTATTAGCTTTATTATTCGTATTTCGATGTGAATTTTGTGTTTAATTTTACAGGGAATCGCTCACTGTGATCTAAAGCCGGAAAACGTGCTCCTTTCCGAGCTTTCCTCGAATTTCCCCCAAACGAAACTCTGTGATTTCGGATATGCACGGTATTATTAGCTTTATAAATAAAAGATTATCACTTTTTGGTTATTATTTGATGCAGAATAAAATTGCGCGTCGAATGATACAAAAATTAATTCAAAATCTAAAATCCACACAAAGTTATTGCCTAAAAACCGAAACCTCGCCGATTTTGGACAAGACTAGACCTTTTGCCACATAACTTTGCATAGATATTAGATTTTAAGTTAATTTTGGTATCATTCGACGCGGAATTTTATTCTGCATCGAATGATAGTCAAAATAGACAAAATAGAAGGACTGGTGCTGAGAAAAACATGAAAAACCTTGGACGGCAAAAAAGTGTTTTTCTCAGCACTAACCCTTCAAATTTGACTATTTTGACTATCATTCAATGCAGAGTAAAATTCCGCGTCGAATGATACAAAAATCAACTCAAAATATAATATCCACACAAAGTCAGTGCCTAAAAACCGAAACCCCGTCCATTATGGGCGGGACTTAATCTTTTCCCTCATAACTTTGCGTGGATATTATATTTTGAGTTGATTTTTGTATCATTCAACGTGGAATTTTATTCTGCATTGAATGATAGTCAAAATAGTCGAATTTGAAGGGTTAGTGCTGAGAAAAACACGAAAAACCTTAAATTGCCAACGGCAAAGGACCGACAGATGCTTTCGTTACGAGTCTAAAGTCGTATATAAGGCGCCCGTCGGGGGAAAAGAGGCGGGCGCATATAAAAGATAGCCCCGCTCCCTTTGTCATTGGCAATCTTTGAGCTCAAATATCTTGGTGTTGAGGTGTTCGATTGAAATATTTTTAATATCATTAGATTCGCCAAGTCCTCCTCTATCGATTAGTCCAAAAACTATTGAAATTGAACAGCTCAACACCAAGAAATTTAAGCTCAAAGTTCGATTGCCAATGGCAAAGAAGCGGGGCGCGTATAAAAGGCAGAGGGGGTGGCGCCAAAAGTATAAAAGGCGCCCCGCCCCCTTTGCCATTGGCAATCCAACTTTAAGCTCAAATTTCTTGGTGTTGAGCTGATCAATTTCAATAGTTTTTGGACTAATCGATAGAGGAGGACTTGGCGCATCTAATGATATTAAAAACATATAAATTGAACAGCTCAACATCAAGATATTTGAGCTTAAAGTTGGCAAAAGACGTATGAAATCTTTGATAGCCTAACTTTTTGATGTTTAACTGATGATGGTTGAAGTATCTTTGAATATCTTTAATAGAAAATGATATAGAAAATGATGTGCCTAAGTGAATGACTGCATAAGTATCAAAATCAAATTCTTTCTTTTAGTTTCATCGGTGAGAGTCAATTCCGAAAAACGATCGTTGGTACGCCTGCTTATCTTCCTCCAGAAGTTCTACAAAAGAGAGGTAGCTGGATTTTTATAATAAATGTTTATATTGGGTTGGTGAATTGAAAACTGCGGGCTATTGTCATATGTGCACTGTCATATGAGAGTTTGAGCACTTTCTTCAAAAGAAATCCATTTTGGTGTCAATAGAAAAGTTGTAGGGGAAATGAAATGGCGGAAAATGAGGGGAAGGGGAGGGGGGGTTACGGTATCTGTCTGTCTTTCTGTCTGTCTTTCTGTCTGCCTTACTGTACGGGCATTTTTTCAGCCGTATTTTGATCAATATTTCATTATGCATGGATATTATATTTTAAGTTGTTTTTGGTGTCATTCGATGCGTAATTTCATTCTGCATCAAATGATCGTTAAAATAGTCAATATATTGGGTTGGTGAATTGAAAACTGCCGGCTATTGTCATATGTGACAGTTTGAGCACTTTCTTCAAAAGAAACCCCATTTTGGTGTCAATGGAAAAGTTGTAGAGAATCAAAAATTAGGCTTATAGCCAAACTTCTAAAGATAAACTTAGTATTGGGTTGGTGGAAAAGTCCTTTCCGATTTCTTGGGAGAGTACCCTTAAATTTGACAAGTGTGAGACTCAAAAATCGAGGACTGGAGACTCAACAATAGAGGAATGTCCCAGTTTGAGCACTTTCTTCAAAAGAAACCCATTTTGGTGTCAATGGAAAAAACAGATTGGAAAAATAAAACACGAGGAAAGACTGAAAAATTCTTTGTGGCGGGGTCCTTTTATTGCGTCGGGTTACGGTAGTTTCCGACGTTTGGCGCGGAAACGTCTGAAAGGCAAAGTGTACGGTGGACGGTCCGAAAGGCATTTGTCGTCAGAATTTTATTATTTCAAGAGAGAATTCCTTTAAATTGATTTAAAGTAAAATGAAATTAAACCCAATTTGTTTAATTACTTTTTAAATTATTATTTTTAATTTATTGGATTGTTGAATTGAAAACTGCCGGCTATTCTCATATGTGACAGTTTGAGCACTTTCTTCAAAAGAAACCCATTTTGGTGTCAATGGAAAAGTTGTAGAGAATCAAAAATCAGGCTTATAGCCAAATTTTCAGAACGATTCAAAAATTGGTTTTCAAGAAATGCCAAATTTACGAATTTTCACAAAGCTAGCAACAAAACTTTCATTTTAAGCGAAACTACTAAGTGAATCTTTTTGGAAATTTGGCTATAAGCCTAATTTTTGATTCTCTACAACTTTTCTATTGACACCAAAATGGGTTTCTTTTGAAGAAAGTGCTCAAACTGAGACATTCCTCCATTCTTGAGTCTCCAGTCCTCCATTTTTGAGTCTCACACTTGTCTCACACACAAACCAAAATTCTACTACGAAAGAGGAATCCGCAAATTGCCTGTAAAATGGGCAGAAGTCGTCAATAATAGTGGAAATTATTTGGAATGAATTCATGGTTTTATGTTGAATAAATTTTAGTTTAAAGTCCCGCAGTTTTCAATTCAATTCAATTCAAATTCACCAACCCAATATATAAAGTTCGCGTCTGCCTACTTTACGACTTCAAAATGGGCAAAACAGTAGCGGAATCTCATTGAGATTTGGTCAAAGCCTTTGGGAATGATGTATACTCCGAAAGCTGATGCCGAGTTTTCAATTCACCAACCCAATAACAAATTTTTCTAATAAATGTTTATAACAACTTTTTCCAATGAAAAGTTGAATGTAAATTGTTTTTGAAAAGATTTAGAATGATATTTAGGATATAACAAATCATTGGACATGTGGTCGGTTGGAGTGATCATTTATGTGACCCTTTCCGGGACATTCCCTTTCAATGATGGTGAAGAGGTGGATAGAGTTAGCGAATGTTGAAATGAAAGAGGGTTTTAGATAAGTGAACAAATCCAAAATGCAGCTTTCATGTTCCCATCGGATCCTTGGTAAATTTTAGATTCTTATTGGATATTCTTATTGGATATTCTTATTGGATATCCTTATTGGATATTCTTATTGGATATTCTTATTGGATATTCTTATTGGAGATTCTAATTTAATATTCTAATTTATTTGATCTAATTTAATATTCTAATTTAATATTCTAATTAAATCTATTATTTTAAAGGTCCTCCGTCTCGAAACAAGCCGTTGATCTCATTCAGAGGCTGCTCAGAGTTAATGTAAGCTTTAAAAACTTAATCTTAAGAAGGAAATTTGGATTTTTGATTTGATTTGAATAGGATTTGATTGAAATTTGATTAGAATTTGATTAGAATTTGATTAGAATTTGATTAGAATTTGATTAGAATTTGATTATTGAGTAAAATCAAGTCCAAATGATCGAATATAAGAATGTTTCTAGATTGAAGAGCGATTGAATATTGAGGAATGTTTGGCACATGAATGGCTCCAATCAGCTACTCTTTTTAACGATCTTCGAGCTTTAGAAATGAGGCTTGGAGGGGAAAGGTTAGAAAAAATGATAGAGAATAATAGAATCAAAAGTTCTTTCTAAAAATAAGCCCTAAAACTACAAACTGATCGTAAAGTACAGCACGACCTGAAACTTTTTTGAAAAGCTAACTGGGAAATGGCTAATTCATTTGAAAACTGGCAAGTGTTAGATAGAGAATTGTAGCCCTGATTCTTGGCGATATTTATCTACCAAAAACTTCTCGATTGGATTTATGCAATTCTTAATATAAGACTAAAAATTTGGCTCTTTTGTAGTTTCCGGGTCTTTTGAAAGAATCCTGGTCTTTGAACGGGTCGCCAAGCTTTGATGGCCTATAACTTTGTCCAACAATGATATTTTTTTTAACCTTTTATATCATTGTACAGAGAACATTTCAGGCTTTTAAATGATACCAAATAGAGCTTGATTGAATAATCCAGTCCAATAAAATCGGAGCCAACTCTCATCAAACGAGATCGATCCAACCCGGATCCAGTACTGCTTGATTTTCTTGGACTGGATTATTCAATCAAGCTCTATTTGGTATCATTTAAAAGCCTGAAATGTTATCTTTACAATGATATAAAAAGTTACCCAAAATATGATCACTAGACAAAGTTATAAGCCATCAAAGCTTGGCGACCCGGATTCAAAGACCAGAATTCTTTCAAAAGACCCAGAAACTACAAAAGAGTCAAATTTTTAGTCTTATAGTAAGAATGAAGACTTCAAAGTACTCATAAATCTTTCAGATACCTTACAAATGGCCAGGATGATGCTCATTACGCTCGGCTACTCCAACAACAGCAAGCTGATCCGACTTTGGCTCAACAGAGATTCGCGATCGCTCAACAGCAATCATTACTTGATTTGTAAACATAATTATGAATTGTTTTGAATTGAATTGAATTGTAAACAGAATTGTTTTATCATTTGAAGTTTTATTTATCTTTTTTTTTTAGGTAATATTGAGATTTTTCGTGTCGGGATACTCAGTTAGCTCAAAATAGGAATACGGTAGTTTTATCTGAGATTTTTCACAAGAAACTTACAAGTTTTCGAAGTACTATACTGTGCACAAGTACAAGTACCGTGTCCTGTAATGTACTCTGTACTATAATGTACTGTGTACTGGACTGTACTCTGTACTGTATACTGGTCTGTGCTCTATACTGTGTACTGAAATGTACTCTGTACTAGAATGTGCTGTGTACTGGTGTGTACTCTTTACTGTACGGTACTGTGTACTCTTTACTGTGCTGTACTGTGTACTGGACTGTACTGTACTGTGTACTGGACTGTACTGGACTGTACTGTGTACTGTAATGTACTGTAATGTACTGTACTGTGTACTGGAATGTACTGTACAGTGTACTGGAATGTACTGTGTACTGTACTGTACTGTGTAGTAGAATGTACTCTTTACTGTATTGTATTGTGTCCTGGAATGTACTGTATACTGGAATGTACTATGTACTGGAGTGCACTGTGTACTGAAATGTACTCTGTATTGAAATGTACTCTGTACTGGAATGTGCTCTGTACTGGAATGTACTCTGTACTGGACTGTACTCTGCACTGGACTTTACTCTGTACTGGACTGTACTCTGTACTGGAATGTACTCTGTACTGGAATGTACTCTGTACTGTACCGTGTACTGAAATGTGCTCTGTACTGCCATGTACTGTGCACAAGTACAAGCACTGTATACTGTAGTTTAGCGTACTCTAGTAATTTTAAGTATTATAGTCGTTCGATGCAAATTCTGGGGTTACTTATTTCAATGGAAATTTCTGTGCCCTCTCTTTGAATACCCATTTTCCGCAGCGGGTCTCTATGTCCGCTTGGCGCAGTCGGTTAGGCGCCGTTTTTTCAGACCGCACGGGGTCGTCCCGGTCCTGGTTCGTTTCCGCTTGCGAGCCGCTTTTGTCAAATCTAATTTTCACCGGTTTTTGAAAACTTTGCAAGAAAATCTGTGATATTTCCGTTTAAGATAAAAGCTTTTATCAAGAGAACAGGGTAAACGATTATGTTATTTAAAAATCGATCACAATTTTCTTCTTTCCTCATTTTTTCACAACAATTTTCACAACAAAAGAAAGAAAAAAAGAAATATTCAAGAAAAGGAAAATAAAAACAAATTTATATTTGGGGTTACGGTAGTTTTGGATTAAATGCAAATTTAGGCTTTGGAAATGGTTACGGTAGGTTTTTAAACGTTTTTAAGGCTTTAGAAATGGGTTACGTTATTTAAAAAGTGAATTTTAGCCTTAATTTTAGCCTTAGCTCTAGTCTAAATGACGAAAATTGAATAGGATATTGAAACTACCGTAATCCCTTATTGATATGTAAATTTATCTAGCTATTTAGAGCTAAGCTGCCGTAGAGAAAAATGAAAAACGGAAAAAGCTACCCAAAAAGACCCGAAAAGATGGATTTTAAAGGAAAATGCGAAAAGACTGAATACTTTTTTGATCTTATTATTCTTTGAATGCAAATTTTAGACAGCTGTACATATCACATTTAAAAGATTTTTGCTTTCAAGACTGCAAAAAGTATAGAATTGGCCTTAAGCACCTTGATGACCTTAAGCACGGCCTTAAGCACGGCCTTAAGCACGGCCTTAAGCACGGCCTTAAGCACGGCCTTAAGCACGGCCTTAAGCACAAAAATTCGCCGTTTCTTTTAAACGGCGAATTTTGCGTATAAATGGTTGACGAAAATCGAGATTTTGCTTGATGAATGAAGAAAAAAAGAAAAATGAATGAATACTCAGCTAATCCGCTGTTTCCCACTTCGTTTTTAATCACTTTCACTATCGCTTGTGAAGAAAGCCACCGTGTCCTCTTGGTTGAGACGTTTGAAGCCCTGGAAAAAGTATGCAATTGAAAAATTGAATGCAATTTGAAACGCTAAACTTAAATCACTTTACTCGCTCAATCTAAGCGCTGTTTACGTAAGGAAATGGCTTTAAAAGATCAAGAATTTGTGGGGGGAAATACAGGGAAATTTTCGGGGCAAAAATAGAGCCAAATTTGAGGCAAATGTACAAGGAAATTTGTGGCAAATATACAGGCAAATTTGGGGCAAATATGCAGGGAAATTTGAGCCAAAAATACAGCTAAATTTGAGGCAAATATACAAGGAAATTTGCAGCAAATATACATGGGAATTTCTGGCAAATATACAGCCAAATTTGGGGCAAATATACAGGGAAATTTGAGCCGAAAATATAGCCAAATTTGAGGCGAATTTGAGGCAAATATATAGCCAAATTTAAGGCAAAAATTGCTCAAAAATCTCGGCATAGTGACGTCATAGCTGGAGGGGCTAGAGGGAGGATAGAGGGAGGATAAAGGGTGCCGAAAAGCCGGCCCTTCAATCTGTTCAAATGGCGCAGTGGCAGGGCTCGGGTCTCTAGGCCAGGAAGTGCCGGGTTCGACCCCGCCTCAAGCATTTGGTTTTTGCAAATTCTTGCTTCTTCAAAAGAAAAAGGGCTAGCTTTTCTTTGATAAACTAGAGGTGTTTTCATAAAAACATGAACTAGAGGTTTAAAAGAAGAAATAGGAAAGGTAAGAAAAGTCTTTCCTATTTCTTTCATAGAGACGCCATAGTTTTCATAGAGATTTCAGGTTCAAAGTTCATGGAAAGCTTAGGCTTAAAGTTTATGAATAATTTACGCGGTAAACTTTGGCTTAAAGTTTATCAATAATTAAAGATATTAAATAGATTCGGGATCGGGAAATCGATTGGAGAAATTAATTTTTATTAAATCCGGTTCAAAATCCTTGATTCAAAAACCAAAATCCGGATTTTATCTGGGATTTCCGGTCGGGAACGTTTTGCTTCTCATCAAATCGTTATTTGAACATTAAAATACACGCTACCGCTTGCTGTTGAACGATTAATATAAAAGAAATCGTTGATTTATTTGTTAATCGTTGATTTATTTGTTATAGGAGCACGTGTGGCTGACTGGTTAAGTGTCTTTTATCTTAATCGGAAGGTCGAGGGTTCGAACCCCACATACGACATGGTCACCCCCTTCGGATTTCCTTTCCCTTCGGGTTGAGAGGTTTTCTGGAGGGCAGTCTGGTGGTTGTGGCCCCAGTTCTTTAAAGTGACAAGCCACTCCTTCATCGTCATCTTCCCTTCACCACCAAAAAAAGCTATTTAGTTCCCCATTGAGCTTAGGGTTAGGGAGCCGTCTGTCATGACGTGGGTTAAGTTAAGATATAGCCTAGTATTGTGTGTGTCGTTGTATTGTGATTGATATATTTCGTGTATGCGATAAATTCACCACTGGTAGCCCCAGTCGGTATTTTTAAAAATCGTTGTATTACTTGTATTTACTCAAGTTATTGCATGAAAAGACTCCTATAAAGAAGAATTTTGTGTCGAATTTTTGTGACAAAAACCTTTCGATCAAACGCATTTTGCGGATTTGCTCTCCGTCGACCTTTCTTCATCCACACGTAAATCCCACCAGCAACTACTCCGAGAAGCAAGAAAAACGTCAATGTGAGTGGAGCTGTTGAGGCTTTATTCTTGATCTGAAAATCAAAAAATCATTTTCTTCGACTCTTAGATTCTATTTGTTTTTAATGTAAACGTTTTAAAGTAAATTAATTTTTAAAGTAAATTTTGTTCAGAACTGCATTCAAATAAGCCCTGAACATGCAGAAATGCAGAAAATAATTGGTTGATGCATAAGTGTTTTCGTTTTTTTCGTATTTCTGTTAAAAAGTAACAAATTCACCAATTAATCTATAGTTTGCTCTATCAAAAAAAGTGTTTTTTTTGTTGAATTTGCATCTTTTTAAATGAATTTCGGTTGACTTTCAAGCAAATTCGAGAGTGAAAAACGCCTTTTTCGTAAAAATCTATAAAAAAACTCTACGGAAAAATTGGCTGAATGAATTTCTCTGAAATTTTGGCGAAATATCAAACGTTTTTTTTTCTCTCTATCTTTTATCTATTGACACGAAGATAGGTTTTCTTTAGCTAAGGTGTCTAAACCGCTCAGGCTCAGGCTCAGGCTTAGGCTGAGGGCTTAGCCTGAGCCTGAGCCTGAGCCTGAGCCTAAACCGCATCATTGAGTTAGCCCTTTTTGACTACCCGACTTCATACTCTCAAGAAAATCCAGGCATTAAATATTTTTAAACCCGTTTTAATGTTATTTTGCAGAAAAATAATTGCTTTTTCTAATGAAATCAAACGTGGTTTAATTGGTTTAATTGGTGCATTTGTTGGCTTGAAACGGCAGACGAAAAGGAACAAAAAGACTTATGCATCAACCTAATACAAGTACGGGAACTTTTGGCGCACGCTGTATTAACGCCACTTACCGCCCCATATGCTGCCGACGCTTTCTCGTAGTAGGTTGCTCCAGACAATGTATGACTTTCTGTTGAAGAATCGTGTTGAATCTAAAATTCTATTCCATTATATGATAAAATTAAGGTCGAATTTTAAAGGATAAGTTTAGGATAAGTTTAAAAAGTAACTGATAAAGTTAAATTCAAACCCGAAACTTCCACAAAGTGGCGCCTTTCTCGCTGATGTCACCGATGAAGATGTGATTCCCGTCGGGGGAGACTCTAGAAGTTGTAAATATATTAAAAACAAAGAAATAAACACAGAAATGAATAAAAATAACAATATTCTTGTTAGAAAATAGCTATAATGATCTAAAAATAGCTATAATGATTACCTCAAGACGTGCGGCCGACCGAAACGCTCGGAAGTGGGCGAAAAAGCGAACTCGAGCAATCCGGTGCCAAGTCGAGAGCCGTAAACCTGAAAAGTTTTTAAAACTACTATATAAAAGAGCAGTTGTACGATTTGAAACAAAAAAAATTGAAAAATCAGGACCGAGAAGCGCTACGGGGGGTCGAACCCGACCCCACTCGGGGCTAGGGGGTTGTAAACAACCGCACTTCCTACTGCGCCACGGCGACTATCTGTCGGCCTCCAAAATAACCAGCTAAAGAAGCATCTAGCGACGATTCATCACCACCAAAACATTCAGCTTTTTGGCTGTTTCATATCTTATCCTTTGATTAACTAAAGGAGATGAAGTGCGTTTTGGTGTAATGGTTAACACAGTTGATCGCTAAGTGAAAGGTTGCGGGTTTGGGTCCCGGCAGCGAAGAAGTTTTTGAGCTTTCCTAGTTTATCTTATCCTTTGCTTCTTTTTCTAAAACAAACACTGATCGGAATCTCGTCTTGTGTGAAGCGATTGTACGAATTCTCGCCGGGAACCATGAAAATCGTGTCTTCAAACGAGTCACTCGAGTAGATATTCGTGAAAAGTGATGAGGAGACGACTGATTGAACAAGGCCTTCCATGTTGAGTTCCTGAAAATTGTGAGAATAGGCGAATTGATGAATTGATGTTCTGATCAAGAATTGATGTTCTCTGGGTTACGGCTCTCTGGATTACGGCTCTCTGGGTTTTCAAGAAATACTCTATCATCTATCCATCGTTTTACAGTATTCAATTTACCTGTACTCTTCCGTTTTGTCGATCAGCGACAAGAAGGGTTTTCTTCGGTGAAAGGACAAGATCGTGCGGTAGCTGGAATTGCCCTTCGCCTGTACCCGGAGCGCCGAATTGAGCCTAAATATTGAACGAGTTGAGAGGGCCAGCTATACAATACAAATAAGGGCCCAGAAACCAAAAGGAAGCCCTATTCAAAAAGATGCTCTATTCAAAGTTATCGAAACGGCTTGGAACAAGATACCAGCTGATCGTTGCAAGAAGTTAGTTAAATCAATGAAGCGTAGACTCTTAGAAGTCATCAAAAACAAAAGTTTTGCCACTTCATATTAATTTTATTAATCGGTTCTATTTAAATGTCGTCATTTTTCAAACACAAATTTGTTAATTGTTGAGTTATTAAATAAATACTAAATGGTCTTTGTGCAAATGGAGCATCGGTTCTATTTAATTGTCCGCCACTGTAGATCAGCTTTAGATATTACATATCAAATTGATTTACGGCTTTGCCAACATTGGCTAGGGGAAAATTGGCTTCAAAGTGAACCTTGTATTTCCCGTCAGCTGTCAGCTCGACCACTCGCGCGTTGCAGTAACCATCAGAGATGAAGATGCTGAATGTTTTTTATTTTAATGATTAATTTAATGATTAATTTAATGATGATCAGTTTTTCAGGATCTTTTAGAATCAAGATCTTTCATTTAGTTGACTAGTTTTGGACAAAGGAATGGAGAAAAGACAAAGCAAAGGACAAAGGACAAAGCAAAGGAGAAAAGACAAAGTAGAGGACAAAGCAAAGGACAAAGCAAAGGACAAAGCAGAGGACAAAGCAGAGGACAAAGCAGAGGACAAAGCAGAGGACAAAGCAAAGGACAAAGCAAAGGAGAAAAGACAAAGCAGAGGACAAAGCAGAGGACAAAGCAGAGGACAAAGCAAAGGACAAAGCAGAGGACAAAGCAGAGGACAAAGCAAAGGAGAAAAGACAAAGCAGAGGACAAAGCAGAGGACAAAGCAGAGGACAAAGCAAAGGACAAAGCAGAGGACAAAGCAAAGGACAAAGCAAAGGAGAAAAGACAAAGCAGAGGACAAAGCAGAGGACAAAGCAAAGGACAAAGCAAAGGACAAAGCAGAGGACAAAGCAAGGTTTCATTAGTTGACTAGCTTCTTCTTTTCAATCACTTCTTTTCAATCAATTGACTAGTTTCGGACAAAGCCAGCTCCAAATCTGAAGTCAAACCCAAGGACTATTTCTAACAAGACAAGACTGACTTCAAGCCTAGTCTAATCACTTTTAAAAGAGCTTTCAACTGACCGATCTCCATTCTTCGTCACTCCAGTCGGTTTACAAAGATGTCCATGATCGCTGCCCGGCACAAATTCCTCTCCAAAACGCCAAACAAGATCGAGTTTTTCTAAAAAATATGGAAATTATTCAATAACTGGATAAATTTTGTGGTAAAATCCTAATACTTTTCTGTCCACTAACTCTAATAATATTTTATAATACGTAAAACAGAGCATTGAATTGAATGCACTAGAAGGGGATGCGTTTACTTCAGTTCAAAGTTCACTTCTTAAACTCACTTCCGTTTTTCTTCCATTTTGTGACCGTATGCGCTCCAACATCCGTTGTATATATGTAGCCATCAACATCGACAAAGACACCATGAGGAAGGTAGAATCTAAGATTTGAGTCTAAGAATCTAAGAATTTCAAATTATAGATGAATAATTATATTATAAATATAATTTTGTAGATTCTTAAACGAAAAATCGATGCTTTTGAAAGAATTACGATGGAAAAATGATCCTTTATGATAGATTTAATAGATTTAATTTCTGTAAGCGACACGCGACAGCGAATTTCGTCTCCGTGCCAGTCTTTGGTATGACTGCAAATTGGGCAAAAGGATCGTTGAATCTCATTGAGGCCTTTGGAAAGTATTTTGGAAGATGCTATTTCGGAAAGCCAGTGTCGGCGATGGTTTCAACGATTTCGAGAAGGAGAGAACGATTTTTGGGAGATGAGGACCATCTCTTTAAATTTTGGTTCCTTATCTCTTTAAATTTGGTTCCTTTTGTCTCTATATCTGCTTCCTTATCTCTCCAAATTTGGTTCCTTATCTCTCTATATTCCCTTCCTTATCTCTCTACATTCCCTTCCTTATCTCTCTAATTTTACAGTCTCAAATCACTCACTGATTTCCTCCAAGTGCCTCAACGAGCACCGGAGTGTTCCCATCGAATCTTGTCATCAATAATGTCGGCTCGGCAATTGGTTTCTTGTCTTGTAAATGATTTGAGGCATCAAATGTACTAAAAAGAGAATGAATTAGAATCTTTCCAATCTTTTCAAGCTTTTACCTTCCATCCCAAACCCTCGAGCCTCTATGGAAAATGAAAAGATTTTTCTGTTGATCGAATGCTAATCCAGAGATTTGTCCTAGAGTGATGTCACCGATTTTTTGAATTTTCGCTTCTTCAATGATGCCGAAAGGTCTCTGGAATGGTTGATTGATAATTTCTAGACAAGAAAAGGAAGGGCAAGGCCCAGAAGTCCAGAAAAACAAGTCTGACTTGGCTCTGAACAAATTGTAAGCTAATTTATTAGGGAATTGCTCTAGGATTGATTTAGGATATAGAAACTAGCACAAAAAAAGCCACCAAGTCAACAGCCACAAAAGCCGCTCTAGCATTGATTTAGGATATAGAAACTGGCACAAAAAAGCCACCAAGTCAACAGCCAAAAAAGCCAACAATTCTAAGAATAGTTTTTCAGTTTGGCATCCAGTTTTCAAGAAAAATGCTTTTAAAATTTAAACATCGCCGCCGTAGTATAACCCTGAATTACTTTCCTCACTCTATGGTGTAGCGGATAGTGGGCTTGCCTCTCACTCTGATTCGGCCTTGTCCCTGGTTCGAATCCCCTCACCGCCACTTTCTCCTTTTTGTGAAAGCACCAATTATTGAGGTATTTTAAAGTATTCGGAAGTAAGTAACAGTTCTCGGAAATGACTGCGAACAACTTTCAGTGATAGAAGAAGATCAGCTCTAGCTAGCCTGATCAGCTCTAGCTAGCCTGATCAGCTCTAGCTAGCCTGATCAGCTCTAGCTAGCCTGATCAGCTCTAGCTAGCCTGATCAGCTCTAGCTAGCCTGATCAGCTCTAGCTAGCCTGATCAGCTCTAGCTAGCCTGATCAGCTCTAGCTAGCCTGATCAGCTCTAGCTAGCCTGATCAGCTCTAGCTAGCCTGATCAGCTCTAGCTAGCCTGATCAGCTCTAGCTAGCCTGATCAGCTCTAGTTAGTTTTTTGTCTGAGCCTGTTTTGGGCTAACCAGCTTTACTCAGGATAATTTCTGAGCTTCATTCAGGATTATTTCTAAAGGAATTGTCTGAGCCATGCGAAAACAATCAAAACAAGCAATTTTCTGAACAAAACAAGGTTTTAGCCTAAAGTTGTGTCGTTATCTGGCTTCAAAAGTACTTTTGGACAGGACAATCAGTACGTAAGGACAATCTAGCTTCACTTTTAGAACCCCTACAACTTTTAGCTTCACTTTTAGAACCTCTACAACTTTTAGCTTCACTTTTAGAACTTCTCCTTCCACTTCTACAACTTTCAACTCCTCACCCCGCTTTGCAAAGCCGTGTGCTCCAACTCTGGCCGCGGTGGCAACAACTCGAAGCCTTCTTTCGGGTATTCTGTACCGAAGAGTTCACTGGAAATGAATATTAAGAGAAAATTAACAAGGGAATTGTTTGAATTCGGAACCGATCTTGGGTAGTTGATTTATCTACAGTACTGGACAATGAAATACCATATTCGAAAAACGATCGTCACTTTCGCGCGTCTGTAACTCCCTTGTCTTTGAGTTTAAACTATTAGTGTTATACATTTTCTGAAAGCTCTTTTCAAGGGCTACACAATGGTAATATTAATATTTAGAAATACGGTAAAGACAAGGGAGTTACAGACGCGCGAAAGTGACGATCTTTTTTCGAATATGATATTTCATTGTCCAGTAGTGTAGTTTCAATTGCTTCAATTGAAACACGTTTTAGCCTACCGACCTTGGGTAGTTTTAGCCTACCGATAACTCGGAATCGATCTTGGGTAGTTGATCTATCTATATGTCGTAGCCGATTATGAATTTCAGCCGATTATGAATGAGTGGGTCCAGGAGCGTCCAACCATCAAGTATTTGGTGTCATTCAACGCAGAATCATTAATAATTATGCTAAATTTTTAAAATTAGAAAGATTTGATAAAAAGAAAAAAAATTATGGGGCCTCAAAGTTTCCTCTTGAACAAACAGTTTTTTTGCTCTAATTTTTTTTCTTTTTATCAAATCTTTCTAATTTTAAAAATTTAACATAATTATTAATGATTCTGCGTTGAATGATACCAAATACTTGATGGTTGGACGCTCCTAGATGGTTGGAGGCTCTCCTAGATGATTGGAGGCTCTCCTAGATGGTTGGAGGCTCTCCTAGATGATTGGAGGCTCTCCTAGATGATTGGAGGCTCTCCTAGATGATTGGAGGCTCTCCTAGATGATTGGAGGCTCTCCTAGATGATTGGAGGCTCTCCTAGATGATTGGAGGCTCTCCTAGATGATTGGAGGCTCTCCTAGATGATTGGAGGCTCTCCTAGATGATTGGAGGCTCTCCTAGATGATTGGAGGCTCTCCTAGATGATTGGAGGCTCTCCTAGATGATTGGAGGCTCTCCTAGATGATTGGAGGCTCTCCTAGATGATTGGAGGCTCTCCTAGATGATTGGAGGCTCTCCTAGATGATTGGAGGCTCTCCTAGATGATTGGAGGCTCTCCTAGATGATTGGAGGCTCTCCTAGATGATTGGAGGCTCTCCTAGATGATTGGAGGCTCTCCTAGATGATTGGAGGCTCTCCTAGATGATTGGAGGCTCTCCTAGATGATTGGAGGCTCCCACTCATTCATAATCGGCTGAAATTCATAGTCGGCTACGGGGGTCGCGCCGATTTTGAATGAAACGTTGTAGCGGCGGTAAATTTTTAACCTAAACTCACAAATTTGGTACCAATCGACGCAGAAATGAATTCGCTACAAGCTGATACGAAATACTTGATGGTTAGACGCTACAAGATGATATAATATTGTCCTCATACATTAAAGGGTTGCTCTACTAGAAAGATTTACCAAAAAAATTTCATTCATAATCGGCTACGACATATATAACCCCATCTTAAAAAGTCAGGGAATACGTTTTTAGTCAGGGAAGTCTCTATTTTTACTTTTCTATATATTTAAAATCTTTGTAAAAACGCATTGAATGTTTTAGTGATTTTCGAAAAATCCGCGCGCTTAAAACGGATTTTTCGCGAGCCCAGCTGATCGACCAGACGGTACTGAATGTACTGTACTGAATAGCAGACATGGGAAATCGGGGGCGACAATGTTTTGGCCAATAGTTTTTGGTTTTTGCATCAAAAACTAAAAATATTCCCTAAGATGGGTTTATGTAGATAAATCACCTTTTCCCAGATCGATTCCGAGCTCAAACAATTCCTTTGTAAGAGGATTTTCAATTTAGAACTTGTTTGTTTGGCTTTTCAGCTTGAAAAACTAATACAGTGTTCGAGGAATGAAAATTCTCGGTGCTAAACTGACTAATCAACTAGTTGCCATTGCCAAAGCTGACTCACTTTGCATTTTGTATGAAATTTGCATGAAAAGTTGCTTAGATTCTGCTTGGAGACTGTATCAAAAAAGCGCAAATGCAAAAACGTTTAAAAGAGCATCGTAAGAGCTCTTAAAGCGTCGTCTTAGGTAGAATATTTTTCAGAGCCTCGTCAGAGCCTCGTCAGAGCCTCGTCAAAGCCTCGTCAAAGCCTCGTCAAAGCCTCGTCAAAGCCTCGTCAAAGCCTCGTCAAAGCCTCGTCAAAGCCTCGTCAGAGCCTCGTCAAAGCCTCGTCAGAGCCAGGATCTCGTCCTAAGATCTGAAAGAGGAAGCTCTTAGCTCTTTTAAGCGGCGCTCTTTTGATCTAGTCCCTCTGCTTGTTTTTAATTCAAATAATATGCTAATATGTTTTTGATTAATTGATCAATTGTTCAAT